AATATGGTTTTAGACAGGGAGTATCAACAATAGACGCAGTATCAAGAGCGAATGGGGAAAGGAAAACATGCCATCTTAATAAAAATAGATTTTCAAAAGGCATTTCACCACATGTGGTGGCCAGGAATTATGAAACGTATAAATAAAATTAAATGTCCAAAAAACATCAAAGATATTCTCCAAGATTATTTAACTAATCGACAAGTAGGATTCTACTCCAACAGTACAACTATCATCAAACAAATTAATAGAGGATGCCCACAAGGGTCCAGAAGTGGGCCAGGACTATGGAATTTAGCAATGGACAGTTTACTAAACAAAATTCCAGACACCAACGACAGTCAAATCCAAGTATTCGCGGATGACGCACTCCTCATGATATCAAACAAAAACTGTAATAAACTTGGAGACGAAGCAAATAAGATACTTAAAGAAATTTATGAATGGAGTATTAATTATAAACAACCTATCAACTTTAACAAATGCGAGTTGGTAGTATGTACCCGAAAAAATAAACAAGACCAACTGAAGAAACCCATTGGACTAAAAATTGATGGTAAAAATATAAAAAATGTTCCTTATATTAAATACCTTGGAATATATTTTGATAGACAAATGAATTGGAAAATACACATAGACGAAACATACAAAAAAGTGATAGAACGGGCAAACTTATTAGAACATATAACTAGAAATACTTGGGGTATGAGTTCGAAAAACACAAGACTGATCTACAAAGGAGCTATTGTGCCAGCAGCACTTTACAGAGTACAAATTTGGGGAGAAGCGATAGATAAAATACACAACAAAAGAAAACTCATCTCAATCCAAAGAAAGGCGGCAATAAGAATCTGCAAAGCATATAGAACAACCCCAACAGATGCTCTATTAGTACTAGCGAAACTAAAACCCATAAAATTAGATAGCAAAAGAGCTCATCTGGGAAAATAATGTATTAAAAGAAAACTTACAAAGAAAAACCAAAGAAGAAATACACAAAGAAATTAACAAAGGAAAACTTCCAAACGACATAAAGATGATAGAAACCATTATAGAAAACAAAACAGAAAATATAAATAAATTAAAAACACTGAGTGACCCAGCAAAAATAGAAACATATAGAGTTCACATGGATAAACAAGAGAATGCCACGAAACAAAAGAGTTTTAAAATATATAGTGACGGTTCGAAAACATCATTAGGTGTAGGCAGCGAAATAATCATCATAGATGAAAACAATAGAACTCAATACCAGGCTTCTATGAAGATTGCAAACTACTGCACTACAATGCAAGCAGAAATGTATGCGATTTATAAAGCTCTCACATACATCAATAAAAGGAACAATCATCCAAACAAACAATTGAATATTTACACTGACAGTAGAGCAACACTACACATCCTGGAAAGCAAGAATAGGAAAAACAGGCTCACAAATGAACTCATCAATATCTCCGAAGAAGTTAACAAAAAAAATGAAAATCACTTACAACTGGGTTCCAGGACATACAGGACATCAATGGAACGAAAAAGCCGACAAACTGGCTAAGAGAGCTGCCAGTATTAACATTCCAGTAACCTACAAAAGAATACCAATAACAGAAATAAAAAAGAATATAAAAAACATTACAGAAGAATTATGGGAAGAAGAGTGAAATACATCATCTACAGGAAGACATTGCCACAAATTTTTTCCAAAGATAAAAGATAGATTTCAGAATAAACACTTTAAGCTTTCATTTGGTATGACTCGGTGTTTAACAGCACACGGAAACTTTAAGTCTTACTTGTACCATTTTCACAAAACCAACAACCAGTATTGTGAAGTGGATACCAGCCAAGAAGACAATGTATTTTACTACTTATATGAGTGCACCAAATTCAACAAAGAAAGAGAAAATTTTTATACAAAAGTGCCTCATGGTGGGCTTCAATTGACCACCTAAAGACACGGACCTTGTGAACAACAAAATTTTATTCACCGCATTAGAGAAATACATCAACGATACGAAAATTCTCATTGAAATAAACTACACAAGAAAACCACAACAGAGAAGAAAGCGATGAAAGTGAAATTGAAGAAGAAAGTGACAACACTGAAAATACATCCGACCGAGAAGACAAATGAACTTTTCTCACTGTGATGCCCAAATGTAACATTAAACACAGGTATCATTGATATTTGTTATCTAACTATAGAAATAATTCACGGCTATAACATAAGATAACTTATTGTAATCCAAATCCATTGAATTCACGAGATGCCGACAATATTTGGAATTAGAATTATATATCATATTACTCATCCTTTATATTAAAAAATACTATAAAAATTGTCGGGACCAATTGTAATTAGAACATTTTCACATGGCAAATAGCCATACCGTAATCTAAATATATAGAGTCCACGAGATGTGGACAATATATTTGGAATATTTTACATACGTGTTATATTAGCTTATTCTGTATATTATTTATTACTATGTTTAAAAATTGTCAGGACCATTTGTAATCAAGTTACTTCTATACGGAAAATAGCCATACTGTACATATTGTAAATATTATTTTATGTTTAATAAACGCAGGAACGGGCGCTCCGAATATCGATCTCTTACTTCACACTTTCCTATCTTCCTTTCTTTTTACATTTCATATCTCATGCTTTCTCTTCTTTCCTACTTCTATAGGGCTAAGTCCGATACTGAAAATCAGACAGCCCTCTAATCTTTTTTACTAAAGGTACTAAAGGTTCATTGTCACACGATGTTCGTCCATCTTTGAGCTGTCATACTCGCGAATGCACATTTTTCGCATCTGTGAAACCATCACCGCATGTATCACTCAACTGAATTTCAGTGGGTGTCACTCCACACAAGTGCAGAAAATGAATGATTATGCGTTGTTCTTGTAATAAAAATATTGCCATTTTAAGTATAAAAAGCGCCTCTTACTCGAATTGCTGCTGCTAAAGTTCTGTGCATCATGTGGTGGTACCCTCTCTGTTATGTGATCACAGTGTCCACTTTTTTTTAAAAAAAAAACCACATGTTGCTACCTGTTCCCTTCTAAAATAGGAAGACTAAAAAAATAGAAAANAATTCATGATTAATAAAAATAATAAAATGTCACTTACAAATTAAAATCAGAAGAAATTTAACAAAGTTATAAACCATAGCACCGCGAGCGTCTAGTCTAGTGTAGTACACTGATAGTGCTACTTGTTCATAGATGGCGCGTATAATTGAATTAAGTCGTATACCAAGCAAAATTTGTTTCATCCAAACAGGACGTATTCCGAATTGGACGTATTCTAAAGAAGACGTATACCGAGGTTCCACTGTACTGTGTTATTCTTCTTTTGGAAATGTCTATGTAAAATTTAGTTCCTCATATCTTACTTTGCATGATTTTTCTCTATTTTTAAAAATAATTTTGGATTTAAAAATTAACATACAAAATGTCTTGAACAAGTAATAATACTGTACAGAAGAATATTACTGATATTAGCATAATGAATGTAAAGACATCAAGAGGAAACCTTTAATATGAAATTGCAGTTTATGCACAGAATTTTAATAATTATTATTATCTAAATTTATTATGATGATAAATGTATGTCCTTAATAATAATAATAATTATTATTATTAAGGACATACATTTGCTGATTGAACTTGATGTATGTTTATTTTTACATTGTGTTATGACAATCTATGAAATATTTTGATGCCAAAAAAAAAATTAATAGGCAAGGATTGTCTGCCATGTCATTGGGAAATAAACAAATGTTTCTGAATGCAACATAAAAATATTAAAACTTTTTGAAGTTAAAAGTGATAAAAAGTTGAAACTTGTTTTAATATATATTTTCTCATGAATTTAAAGACATTCATTCATTCATGTCCTAATGATTGTCAGATTCATTTATTTTCATCCTATATACAGGATGGACTATTTTAATTAATCCAGTGGAATAACTCAAAAATATACATCCTACCAAAAAAATTACTTACACCAAAAATCTTCAAGGGGGCCACTAGATGGGTTATCGGTTTCATCATAGATGGTACTATAATCTGTGAAAATGGGGTCAACTTTATTTTTGCAAATGGGAACCCCCATTTTTTATTGCATTTTTTGATTCTACATTTAAAAAAACATACTTTTATCTAGTGCATCTTTTGAAAAATGCTTTAATCAGAAGTTATGGTCATTTGAAGTTTGTAGTCACCACATTGTGCATGCATGAATTTCTGAATTTCACTGACAAAAGAAAGAAAAAAAAGGCTAAAGAAAGTTGTTAGAAGCTATTATTATTTGGTTAAATTATTATTTGAACTAGTACAAAACTAGTGTCATGGAGTATTAAAGCCATCACATTTGTGATAAAGAGAAGACATTTATCTTGGTTCCATCAAATAATAATAGTTTCTTAACAATTTTTTTAGCACTTTTCTTTTTTTCAGTGAAATTTACAGACATCCACAAATTTATGCATGTATGATATGGTGGCTGCATAAAACTTCAAACACAAATAACTTCTGATTAGTGCATCTTTTGAAAATTGCTTTAGATAAAAGTTTATTTTTTTATGTAGAATCAGAATATGCAGTAAAAAATGGATGGTTCCCTTGAAGATTTTTGGTATAATGAATAATAATTTTTTTTTTGTAGGATGTGTATTATTTGAATTATTCCATTGGATTGATTAAAATGGTCTACTCATTATTATTAACAAGAATAGAAAGTACTTGTTCTTGGCCATGATATACAGTATTTTTGATTGTTTAATCTGTATTTTTGTGATTTATAGTTAAGAGAATTTTTGAAATGTAAAAAAAAAAGATATAAAAATTTGGCTGAGTTAAAATTTTTAAAAAATTTTAATTCGTAAACTATTCTAAAAACTATTCTAGTTTTTTTTTTTTTTTTTTACCTTAACACTTAACCTTAATTTTTGTTCTAATAAATTTAAATGTTTATGAAATAAATTTATTTTCAGCTTACATCAGTGATACTTCTGCTACATTATCAGACCAATTGTTACTAATGGTTTTATCATTACTGAAAAAAGAAGTTTCTGAACATGGTAGGCATCTTACACAATACTTCAGTTTATTTTTGATGTATGCTTCCTTGGGAATTGCTGAGGTTAGTACATTTTAATTTTTATATTTTCATACACATATTTGAAAATTAGTTTTCATTGATCAAGTAAATCAATGCAGCATTAATCAAATTAAATTATAAATTTAAAAGTTTAAATTTGATAAAGATATGTTTATCAAAACATTTCTAAAATACTATAATCAAGATTATGAAAAATAATGAATTAGAATATTTATTTTTTATATGATATTAAGTTTAATAATACTCTATTTGTAGAAAAAGATTTTTAAATAATAAAAATTAAAGAATTAGTAAATGCAAACATAAAATCAATGATTAAATAAAATATTGTATTTACATTAGTATATGTCAGTAATTATTTATTTTTATTTTTTAGCGATTACAACTTCTAAAATTAAATGTTCCTGCCACTTTTATGAGGGTTGCTTTAGATGAAGGTCCTGGACCACCAATTAAATACCAGTATGCTGAACTTGGAAAATTATACCATGTAGTTAGTTTACTTGTATGCTGTTGTGATGTCTCTTGTAAAACACAATCTTCTATGGCTGTAAGTATAAAATTTAATTGATATAATATAACATATTATAATCCTTTTAACTTTCAAATATACAGTATTTGAAGACACAGTGGAACCTCGGTATACGACCTTAATCCATTCCTAGTGTTTGGACATATACCAAACCAACCTTTTCCATAAGAAGTAATGTAAAAATGATTAATCCGTTCTCATGTAAAAAAAATGGCTGGCTTTAAACACCTCGCTTTCCTCGCTAGTTTCTGCTTGATTTTTCATGAGATCAGCATGTATCCTTTTAACTTTCTCGCAAATAATTTCTTCCGATACGCTGTCGCCGGCACACTGTTTTTCAGTTATCCAAAGCAAAAGCAATTTCTCGACATGATCTAATGTCTTCGATCTCTGTTTAGAAATTGATTTAACCCCTTTCGCAACGTTAGCAAATTTAATAATGTCTTTATTTTTCACGATTGTCGATATCGTCGTTCTCGGAATACGGAATGCAACAGTTAAATCTCGAACACGCGTGCCACCTTCATATTTCTCAACAATCTCTTTTTTCAGTTCCGTTGTGATTCTAGTCATTTTTTTATTTTTCTGTTGCCCTTTTGCAATTCATGATTAATAAAAATAATAAAATGTCACTTACAAATTAAAATCAGAAGAAATTTAACAAAGTTATAAACCATAGCACCGCGAGCGTCTAGTCTAGTGTAGTACACTGATAGTGCTACTTGTTCATAGATGGCGCGTATAATTGAATTAAGTCGTATACCAAGCAAAATTTGTTTCATCCAAACAGGACGTATTCCGAATTGGACGTATTCTAAAGAAGACGTATACCGAGGTTCCACTGTACTGTGTTATTCTTCTTTTGGAAATGTCTATGTAAAATTTAGTTCCTCATATCTTACTTTGCATGATTTTTCTCTATTTTTAAAAATAATTTTGGATTTAAAAATTAACATACAAAATGTCTTGAACAAGTAATAATACTGTACAGAAGAATATTACTGATATTAGCATAATGAATGTAAAGACATCAAGAGGAAACCTTTAATATGAAATTGCAGTTTATGCACAGAATTTTTTTTCTGTAAATTGAATAAGTTTAATATAGTTCAATAAGTTCAGAATGCTTGATTCTTATTTGATATATTTTTTATATACAATGAATATTAAAAATCTCAAATTAAATGTAAGGCAAAAAAATAATTTAAAATAAAACATTAAAAATTAATTTAATGATGAGACATTTAAAAAATTAACTAAATAAATATACTACATTGTTCTTCCAATTAATAATTAATAAAAATATTAAATGGAAACAAACATAGATTTACACATTATGAAGAATTTTTTATGAATAATTTATTCATATGTTGTGTTCATATTCAAATTGTGTTGCAACATATATATATATATATATATGACTAGAAGTAGGACATCAAGGCACTAAAAGTCATGTAAGTTATAACTATTTATATGATTTTTAGTGTCAAGATGTCCTAGCCATAATAATTACATACAATTCATAATATCAACGTTTTTTTTTTTTTTTTTTTTCATAACAAACTGTTGGTAAAATGAAAGACACATTCTCATTTATAATGGCATTTATAAAAAATATATATTTAACAAATGTTATATGTTACATTTAAAGGGAGCTCAGCCACTTCCTAATGTTCATATGGGAGACCAAATTTGTGTAGAATATCTGATGGCTATTCAACCAGAAGTTGTTGATATTTTATATAATAAAACCTGGTATGATCTTCTGTTTATCAGTGTATTTTCATAAATAAAGATGATTATTTATAAGAAATTTTGAAATTAAAATTTTTTTGTTTAATAACTTTTCTAGTTATGTCAAAAAAATCATTGAAGATGCTAATAATTCAGAGGATACTGTAAAATTGTTAAAGGTAATAGCTATCAATTTTTCATTTGGTTAAGAAATAAATAAGTGTTACATTAAAAATATGTAATTTGTGGTAAGATTCTTCTCAGTTATTCAGTTATTACTATTTAAAAAATTTATTAAATTAAATCTTTAAAATTTTCATCAGATTAAGTTAATATAAAATTTGAACAATTTTATTGTAATGTTTATGACAATTATATTATGTAGTTAATTTTTAACTAACAAACTGCTATTCAGTTTTATGATGATAGGGTGATCCAAAATAACTAGTTTAATTTATATATAGTAAACTTGTGTTAATACGAATCACCAGGTGAACAGTAGTTAGTTTGCTTTATCAAAAGTTCATATTAACAAATTTCAGAGTCAAGGCCAAGGTCGTATAGTTTAGGGAGTTAAGCTTAACAGATGATAAAAATCTATAATATATAATACAGTATTTCGAATTAATTTACTAAATAAAATTTAACAAAAACAAATTATAAATGATTTTTCAGATCAAACAAAATGTGGAGACTATATTTGCTGTTTAAGTGTGTAATATAATCAGAATTATCAAATAAAGCTAAAAGAAATTTGTTATGTTTTCTGTTGAAGATTATTNCATATTAACAAATTTCAGAGTCAAGGCCAAGGTCGTATAGTTTAGGGAGTTAAGCTTAACAGATGATAAAAATCTATAATATATAATACAGTATTTCGAATTAATTTACTAAATAAAATTAAATAAAATCATTTAGAAATTCTAAATGATTTTTCAAATCAAACAAATTGACATTATGATGATATTTGCCATTTAAGTGTGGAGTAATATATCAGAATGGTTAAACAAAACAAAGAAATTTGTCATTTTTTTTCTGTTTAAGATTATTTTAAAAGTAGAAAATATTTTTGATGCCAAAAGAGTTTTTTAGAAATTGGCACAAAGTAGACAAACCTGACATCATCATATGAACTCCTCAATATGCAAATTAGCACATGTTTTCATGGGACCACATCCATTTAAAGTGGTGGGGTCCTTAAATTTTAATCCATATTTTCTGAGTATGTTAGAATGGTCTATTAAAACCAGATGTTTGAATTGCTTTACAATCAGAGGTCAAACCCATCTTTGTTTATTACAAGGAAAACATCTATTCTACTCAAAATAGAACATTTATTGCAGTATTAATTTTATTGTTTACATCAAAAACTGTAAAAAGCAACCATAGCTGGAAGTAGGGTTATTTATTTAGGGTTATGGAGTTACAAGGGTAATTCCAAAAGTAAGATTTCCTATTTTTTTAAAATACAAAAGACATTTATTTTCAATAATGTTCATACCATTTCTTTAAAGTTTGAACATTTATCTATTTTTCCACATAATCGCCATTTCAGTTGGTGCATTTTTGTATGCCCGTGTCATACCAGCTTGCCGCCGTGTCGTGGGACCCATCTTGCACACACCTTCCAAAATTGCAACTTTTTCATTAAAATCCTATGAATGGTGCTTCAGGAACCCCAAGAACCAAAATGCAGAGATCATCCAGAGTGATTTGCCGATTTTCATGCATGGTTTGCTCAATCTTCATGACTGTCTCGTCAGAAATTGATGATCTCCCACTTCTTTCTTTGTTGTGAATTTCAGTACAATCAGCTGCAAACTCCCTACACCACTTGACATTTTTGACATCTATGCACGACTCACCATACACTTCCATCAATTGGTGATGAATGTCAATCAGTTTAAACACAACATGGTGGCGAACTGGTATGACAATGGCATTCAAAATTGCCAGAGCGCATACAAAAATACATTGATCGAAATGGTGATTATATAGAAAAATAGATAAATGTTCAAGCTTTAAAATGATATAAATATTATTGAAAATAAACATTCCTTTGTATTTAAAAAAAAAAAAATAGGACATTTTACTTTTGGAATTATCTTTGTAATTGACAAGACTATGTCTTGTTTATAAAATCATACTGCCACTCGTTCTTATCAGCATAGAGGGATGAAGGAGTGCATGTCAAGAGTTGATATTTGGCACAGAGTATTAGGTGCCCAAATCATTTGTGCATAAAAAAGTCCAGACTCATAGGTAATTGGGGGAATGAGAATCAAGACAAAATAAAATCCAAAATGGCGACCCTCTTCTACAAACAGGCAAAACAGCCACCTCACCCTACCGAAGTCGGGTAGGGGAGAGTACCACCCGCAGTCATTCTAAGAAGTGAACTCTGACCTTAGGACTGAACACGTAGTTTCTTCTATGTTAAATAAAATTTGTAATCTAATTTTGTAAATTTGAGAGTGCTTCAAATATGACGTTAAAACTGTTTTATGTCATTACAAGTGGACTTTTTTTAACATTATCTAGTATAGTAAAATCATAGGACCAATAAAAATTTGACTTTATATTAGGGTTGTCGTTACATTCGATGACATTATAATCAGGTTAAACTGTATATTGTTTGTGCAAAATAAAAAAAAAATTTCGGACGATACAATAGCCACAATTATTTTTTCAAAAACAGGAACTTTTCGTTGTGCATCGACAAAAATTCAACCCGGGCCAACACGCAACAGAGAGAAATTTTGAAATTAGATAGGTTAATTTTATTGAAGATGCATCATGGACAATCTCGGCAAATTTTTAACAATCGTGCCCAAAAGCAGCAATATCAAAGAAGATAGAAGAATAAGAATGAGACCTGCCTTGAGCATCAAAGTGAATCCGTCTCTGAGACATAGTCTTGTCCCAAATACAGTTTTGCCATTTTATTTGTTTATAGTTTGGTTTAACAAATTTCGGTAAAATTTTTGTTCGTTTTATCATATGAAAATTAATGTTGTGACAATGACATTTTGCCAGGGCAATGACAAAATTCACTATCGGTGTTTGCTTTAAGGTGAGTTGACTATATATATATATGTTATTTGAAATTATTTAAATTTTATTTTATTTCAAATAGATATTTTAGCTATTAACTTCAACATTTGATGAAAGTTTTAAAGATTTAATTTACTAAATTAAGTGTGTGTTAAATAAATTAAATAATTAAATAGTGTGTGTGTATGTAAGGATATAAGGTAAAGGGCCAAATCTATTTAATTTACTCTAATGTATTGTTTTTGGATATAGAGCTATGAACTATATCTAGCTATGAGTATAACTAGCTATGAAAATTTTTATATGAATAAGCTAAATTTTGGAAATAACCTTTATTTTCAAATATATTTACAAATGATTGATTATATTTGAATCTGGTATATTATTATAGCTTTTTTTCAAACTTAACATATCATTAAATCATCTTTAAGCAATTGTACGAAATTCACAGATACCATATTTACTCGCATATAAGACCAGGTTTTTTGTTCATTTTTCACTGCTTCAAAATCCTAGGTTGTCCTATATGCGTGAGCAAAGAATTTTCTTTGTGTTTTCAATAATTTTTGTGAACCATATATAGTTTGTGTTGCCATGATAGCAGGGTGCTATCGAGGTCAAGGTGAATGTCGCTTTCAAAGAGATGGTCCAAAAATAGCTGGTTACTTAGCAATGATTATAAATGTAGTTATTTCATATTTGTTAAATTGATCATTTTAATGAATATTTGCACATTCTAAATCATTAAAAATTAATTTATTCCGGTCATGCGCATTATCTGTTGGTTTTGCTTGGTGTGGGTATCAGGTGCATGGAAAAGCATTCCTCAAGAGCTGATAGCAAAGTCATTCAGGAAATACTGCATTTCAAATTTACTCGACAGATCACAGGACAATGCTTTGTGGAGTGAGAGTGAAAAGGAGGAGAGTTGTAACAAAGGTTCGAAGGGCGAGTCCAAGTAGACAAAAGGTGATTGCATCAAGAAAACATGGTTGTTTGCGTTAATATGTGCATTTGATAATATTTTGTGATTAAACCAATAGAATTGTATTAATAAATCTAATTTTTCTATTTTGATCTTTAAAGTCACACCTCATCTTATATGCAAAATCATCTTATACACAAGTAAATACAGTATTTTCTAAAATAACAAATTTTATTCAATATTTATTTTGATTTTAAAAATTTAGAATGTTTATTGAAAGTGATTTTGAAATTCAGCTATTGAGTGAGTTCCAAAATAATCTTATTGTTACATGTTTAATGCTACATTTAGCTTATTATTGGATTTTTCTACTGCTATAAAGTTTTTTAAGTTCTTTGAATTTTTCTACTTAAATATTTTAAACGTTTATTACCTGTTTGATCACCAGAAACCCATTAGTATTTGAAGATCTGTATAAAATAGTATAGTTGTTAAAGTAATTTTTAGATGCATTATAATTGATGATTCCAATTTGAAGTCCTATTTATAATCATTTCTTCAAAGTTTATAAACAATTAACTTTTTCAGAAGCTTGTAAATAATTTTTAATTTAAATTTTTATTGTCTCTATTATGAAATTAAACAAAATAATCAGCTTGATTTTCTTAAACATGTTTATTAGTATTAATAATATCGTCATGCATTTTACATGATTATTTTTTTAAATTTAGTGCTGGTAAAATTTATTACATATTATATAATATTTAGCAAATAAAACATTATTTGCTAAACATTACAATTGTTAAAGCAATTAATTATTACATAAATTATCTTAATTGAAAGTTTTAATAACTAACGTTTTTAAATTTTATATTGTAATTTAGCAAGAGCTGAACAGATCAAAATTGGAAGCTTTTATATTTAATATTATAATAAATATTGAGATATAAGTTTTTTTTTGTAATTTTATAAATATTGTAATAAGTTGTTTTTTTTTTCTTAGTTTTGTTCTTGGGAAAATCCACATTTTTCTTCAATGGTGCTGAGCGAATTATTATGGCAAATAGCTTATTCTTATACCTATGAGTTGAGGCCATATTTAGATCTATTACTTCACATGTTACTTTTGGAGGATTCTTGGCAAAATCATCGAATACATAATGCACTAAAAGGTTTGGAAGACAATAAAAATTTTAGAATTGTTTTTAAATTGCTTGTATTAAAATTGATTTTTACATATTATAGGTATACCGGATGATCGTGATGGCTTGTTTGATACTGTGCAGCGCAGCAAAAATCATTACCAGAAAAGAGCCTATCAGTGTATTAAATGCATGGTAGCTTTATTTAGTTCCTGTCCTGCAGCAGCACATATGTTGCATGCTAATGGTGATTTGAAAAGAAAATGGACAAGTGCAGTAGAATGGTTGAATGATGAATTAGAAAGGGTAAAACTCTTAAAATATATTTATTATATATAATTTATTAAACATTCATGTATTTACTAAAATAACTTGCTAAATATTTACTGGTTTATTCTTATTAAAATATAAGTGCGGTTAATTTTAAAAGGAGAAAATTTTTTATTTGAAAATGGCTTATTGCATTTTTTTTTTACTGACATTGTCTCTTAACATACTGATGTTTTTTTTTATCATGAGAAGAATTTGTTCACTGTTATGAAAGAGATGCAAGGTCATGCTTTTATTTATATATAAAATTCTATAATAAGTTACAGGAGAAAATAATTCCATAAACCGATGATGAGACTTAAACATTTTTTTGACATAGTAAAATTATCATTTGTACTGTGATGAAAATTGTGTTTTAAATAACTATAAAACTAATTATAAATTATTAAAATATTTTTGTATAATTTTTATATAATATGAAAGAGAAGCCAAAAAGCTAAATTATTTAGTAAATTATAAGTTAATTTTTTTAACCCTAATTATTTTTGCAGTTTTTTCAGATTGAAGAAGGTTGGGAAACATTACAGTAATTAAAACATTAACTTAAAAATTAAAAGAATACCCCCTTATGATTATTGCTATTTATAAAATTTATTTCCACAATGATATGTTTTTGAATATTTGCATAAAACTTTGAAGAATGTGTTTATTTTTGTATCATATTTAACTTTGAAAGATTCATTGAACAAAACATTAAATTTATGATAGAATTTTAATTTTTAGGCAATGTCTAGCAAAACTATAGTGATTATTATAGTGTTACAAATTAGCATATAGACAAGGTTATATTGTTACTTTATTACAAGTAAAAAATTTCAGATCTACAATAACTCTTTATTTCCTATATTTAAAAATATCTAATATATCATGATTTGTTTAAATAAATACTTTTTCTCCTGTTTATGTAATTTTTTTTTCTCTTCTTTGTTACCAGATGATTGCAAGCCTTATGATAGTTTTATTTCAGTTTGATGTTATCAGGCCAAGATATCAAGATCCACAGTTTTTCCATAATTTCTACAATTATATCATATTCACTAGTAATGGGAGTTTCAACTTTTGAATCCACTTTGAATGATTCACAATAATTATTTTCAGATTTCATTGAAAATATGCAATTATATTTAACATGCAGAATTTAACAGTTGATAGTTTTTATACTTAGATTCTCATAATTGTTTGTATTAAAATTTATTAGAAATAAATTCCTTAACTATTATTGGAAATAATCTTCATTAGATTTACAATGTGCTGTAGATTCAGTTATATTCTTTAGATTCATATTAATATTGCTTAAGTTTTTTTGTTATAAGTACTTTTATATTTTTACCTGAAATTGATTTGGAATAACATTTAATTTTTTTGATAATTATGTATTCAAGAATTGTCAAGTTATAATTAATTTTATTTTTTAGAGTTTGAATGAATTTTTCAGCCTAAACAATAAAATCCAGGCCCCCAGTAGCCACTGTATCATAAACCATCCCCAAAACAACAGAAGGTTTTCTTTCTAAAGTAATGAGTTTTATAATTAACAATGAAATTTAATTGTATGTAGATTTTATTTGTGTATGTTATAATAATTTTGTTTTGGTGTTGGTTTTTGTTTAACAGAAAATGATTCTAAAAAATTCAACTTTTCAAGTAAATTCTAATAACTTAAGAAACAACTTTTGCTTTTTACGAGGAATAACAAAATGAATTGCTGCTAATAAAATTTTCAATAAATATAGAAACTATTAAATTTTTTGTTAGATATGTATACATATATTGTTGTTGTTAGTTTACAGTATTACAAAAGTTTTAGATAATTAGTGACTTTTAATGGCATGATGTATATTCTAATAGTTTTTTTAAATACAGTGTTTTCCAAAAGAAATGCATTATAGGAGATTTTGCAGAGAAGCTTGTAGGCAAAGTCTCGGGCAAGTATGTAGCATACCAGTTATATGATGCTCTATTTCAGGTTTCATTACTGTCAAATGGAAATTTAATTGTACAAAATTTGTGTATGGTCAAATCATTTTCAACTAATGTAGGCCAGTTGCATAGTTCCGTAACTAAATGGTATGTTGTGAGGATTAAACTTGTTTTTCTCAAAATTGATATGCAGATGAGAACAAGAATACAACACATTACAAATTTTTTTACTGTTGTATTTAGTTTTATTTAAATAAAACTAAAATAACAAGTTAAATCCTACATCACACCAATTAGTTTCAGAACTGTGCAGATGGGCCTATATTAGTTGGAAGTGATTTGACCACACATGGATTTTGTGCAATTAATTTCCGTTTGACAGAATTTCCAACTTTAAATAATGTATCATATAACAGTACACTGTACACTTGCCTCTGAGGCTTTGCATACAAGCTTCTCTGCACAATCTCTTATGGCATGTTTCTTTCAGAAAACACTATATTATATTCCTTTAATATTGTAAACTTTTATTCACTGTTTGATTTTTACTTTTGAGGTGTCTCAAAAACTATATATTACATTAATCATGAATATAACAAATTTGTTTTATATAAATATATAAAACAACCTTTATATATATGTATACATAAAGGTATAAAGGTTAATTAATGTTAAATTGATATTGTTTAAATCAGAAGTTACCAGAATCATTTAGGCAGATGTCATATATCTGCTCTTATAGCATTATTTAAAATATTTTCATTCATATTTTTTAATTTAAAAAAAGACATTTTATACACAGCTTTTAAAATAATGCTAGAAATAAAATGGATGATTTACATAATAATAATAATTTAACTTACAGTNAAATTTAATATAGTCTGTCATATGTATATTGATGACTTGATTGTAATGTGCACTTGCTAGTATATTTGTATATATAACAATAACTGCTGATTCTTCCTGAATAAATATGTATACATAAAGGTATAAAGGTTAATTAATGTTAAATTGATATTGTTTAAATCAGAAGTTACCAGAATCATTTAGGCAGATGTCATATATCTGCTCTTATAGCATTATTTAAAATATTTTCATTCATATTTTTTAATTTAAAAAAAGACATTTTATACACAGCTTTTAAAATAATGCTAGAAATAAAATGGATGATTTACATAATAATAATAATTTAACTTACAGTAGAAGCTCCATATTTGCAGGAGTTATGCTGTGCAAAATTTCATGAATATGGAAACTGAAAATATGAAAATAGGAAGAAGAAATACATTGAGAAAATGTATGATTAGACAATAAATTTACGTTTTAAGAAAGAATTTTTCATTTGTTTTAAAATGTGTAATTTTTCTCTTGCCTTTTTTAAGTTATTCAAGTTTTGGAAGTTCCTTTTAACACAACACATTTTTTAATTCCTCCTATAAATATTATGTAAAGTATTCCTTTTCTTAACTTTTCAAATTTATTCTTCAGAATAGTTAAATCTAGTTGATCTTGACTCCTACATGGACTAAAAGGATGAGGCAAATGCTTTGTTTTTTTTATGGATAATGGATGGAACTAATCAGAGGAGTATTTTTCTGTGACTGATATTTTCCATTTTTTGGATGGTTAGATTTCTGACAGTCTTTGCAATTTTTCTATTTTGTATTAAGTTGATGATACCATATTTTCAATTTTTGTTTTTTTTTAATGTACAGTTTATTCATTTATGGTGAAAGAGCAAGCTAATATAATTAATATCAATTTATTTAACTGAAGTTGTACATGATAGTTGCAAAGAGAATTCCTAAGGTCTCTCTTAGATACTGCCCCCTAGATAAAGAACTTCAAACTACTCATAAATCTGGTGGTACTGCCTTTTGGGATCCTTTGCCCATACACAATTATTATACAATAAAATAATAATATCTGTAATACAATAACAACAATATTGTGAGTAGCCAAGGACATAGATCTTCGTCTACGCCGCTTATGGGCAACTAGTTGGCGAGACCAGTCTCTGTCGTCCAACGAACGGCCTTTCCCAAACGTAGGGAAACGAGTGGCGGAGGGTCTTATCGTTAAGCCGAATTTAAGGTGGAAGTTGGTGATGGCGAATTCACTTCCTTCCTTATGTCAGGTTCCCGACACCAGCTTGTAAATTATTCGATCCGCAGACAAACACGCGTGTGATTATTTTATAGATCTGATTCAAGGGTTGAATGAGAGACATTCTTTAACAAACAAAGAATTTAATAAAATATAAAGATGTAACAACTATATGCATTACAATTAACAGAGAGATATAACTGCGATCATATTTAACTTTGAAAGATTCATTGAACAAAACATTAAATTTATGATAGAATTTTAATTTTTAGGCAATGTCTAGCAAAACTATAGTGATTATTATAGTGTTACAAATTAGCATATAGACAAGGTTATATTGTTACTTTATTACAAGTAAAAAATTTCAGATCTACAATAACTCTTTATTTCCTATATTTAAAAATATCTAATATATCATGATTTGTTTAAATAAATACTTTTTCTCCTGTTTATGTAATTTTTTTTTCTCTTCTTTGTTACCAGATGATTGCAAGCCTTATGATAGTTTTATTTCAGTTTGATGTTATCAGGCCAAGATATCAAGATCCACAGTTTTTCCATAATTTCTACAATTATATCATATTCACTAGTAATGGGAGTTTCAACTTTTGAATCCACTTTGAATGATTCACAATAATTATTTTCAGATTTCATTGAAAATATGCAATTATATTTAACATGCAGAATTTAACAGTTGATAGTTTTTATACTTAGATTCTCATAATTGTTTGTATTAAAATTTATTAGAAATAAATTCCTTAACTATTATTGGAAATAATCTTCATTAGATTTACAATGTGCTGTAGATTCAGTTATATTGTTTAGATTCATATTAATATTGCTTAAGTTTTTTTGTTATAAGTACTTTTATATTTTTACCTGAAATTGATTTGGAATAACATTTAATTTTTTTGATAATTATGNTCCAAAGTGTCTGTCTCTCGCTCTCTCTCTCACACAACCCATCAATACAATTTTAAATTATTATTTATTTTATAATTATAGGTTGTCCATAAATTATGTAATGAAGATGTGGGTGGGTAGGCAGATAATCAATGCATTATAAGGGGAGGAGATGTTTGCAAAAACTTATCTAATGCTATGATTTCAACTCTTAGGTAATAGAATGATTAATTTTTTATTTCTGAAGGATCGTGTAGTGAACCCTACTGTTCATTTCACTGTTTTGTGTATAATTAATAAAATGTAACATTCAGATTTCCATGCTGTGTATTATTCCTTAGTATAGTTAAGAGAGGTCGATTTCAGATATGCATTAAGTAATGTGAGTATGCAAGATGCATTATGGAGTATTACAGGGGTCAAATGATAGTTGAAAAATATAAAAATAGCATTATGTAATTTATGAGTGATCCCATATACTGATTCTTAAAAATCCTTATAGCTATTTAACTGTAACAAAAAGAAATAAAATATCATCAAAACATAAAATAAATTTAATATAGTCTGTCATATGTATATTGATGACTTGATTGTAATGTGCACTTGCTAGTATATTTGTATATATAACAATAACTGCTGATTCTTTTCGAATGAAACAACCTAGCATTTTTGTCTTCAAGGAACATCATTTAGTGACAAAAAAATAAAAAAGCCAAAGATTCTTCTTGTTTAGATGGCATTGCTGATTTGTAAAGACGAAAGAAAAATTAATTAAAATTTGTTTCTAAAACACAATATTAATTATTCAAATAAGTGTGTGTTAAAATAACCTGAGAAACAGTGAAATAGTTTACACTAGCATGGTTTTAACATAGTTAACAGCAAACATGAAACTTGTTAGATGATTAATTAAGATACGTGTTAGAAATTGTTTCTCTTTATTTGTTGTTTTCACTAAAAATAGAGAAAAATAACAAAATTCACTATTTACAGAATGATTACTAAAAATCCTTCTGTAAATAAGTGAATTTTTACTTCTCAAAAAAAAAAATTAGTAGCAAATACTCAACTGTGTATATGGGGCTTCTGTTGAGTTATATTGATCATTCCTGAAAAATATTGTCAATCTAAAAGTAAATGATTATTTTGGAAGTTTCACATGGATAAAATATTGCTGTCACATTTCCCAAATATCTCAAAAAATAATCGATGAAAATAATTTTTATTACAAAGTTGGTTTAGTGGGTATAGAATAATTGAGCAATTCAATATATAAAAAATAAAACTCTGCAAAGCTGTGTAAAATTGAGCCTGTTTAATAGATTTATATAAATCATTATAATATTTTAGATATATTATTGGCATTTATTATGAGGCAAATGTTGAACAGTTAACTTGAATATTTGGAACTAAACAATTGAAGCTTTACAGCAGGGGTGTCCAACCTTTTTGTTCCTCTGGGTCACATTGGAAGAAGTCATGGAGTTTTGGGCCCTAAGTATATTATATATTCTTTGGCCCAATCCTTAAATATACAAGTATATTTAAGGATTAGCATGTCTAGATTATAGTAATAAATATTAAAACTTTATCACGAAAAAAGATATTTTAAAAAATTACTTCTACAGACCCTTTCAATTTTTACTTAGAAATAACACATTTATTATAAAGAAGACAAACAAGAATTTATTTGAAAAGCACAAATATTTGTTTTATTTGGGTCTCTAATTAATAAAAAACGACAAAACACCAATTTAAAGTGCATTTTTATTTGACTAATATATTTATAAATAATATGTAGCCCAGAAAGTAGCCAATGCGGGAAATGATAATTTTGATGCCAAACTAAAAAAAGGGTAGCCAAATTTGGTACAAAGTAGCCAAATCTTGCAATGCTGAAAAGAATACTAAATAAAGCTGAAGTTGGAACTCAAAGGATTATAGACCCAAATTTGAGAGAAGGAGAGAAAGGCCAAAAGATAAAAAGTAGTGAGGAAGGTTGGAAAATTAAGGGTCAATATTCGCATAACAGAAGATCTACTTAACTTTTCTCACTACTTTTTATCTTTTGGCCTTTCTCTCCTTTTCTCAAATTTGGGTCTATAATCCTTTGAGTCACAACTCCAGCATTATTTATCAATAGTAATCCTTCCTCATTCACTCATCTCCAAATATTTGAAAATATTTCCTTTTCACTCAAAAATAAAATATGTATAAAAGTTTACGGCTTTGTGAAACTTCTTTTTTGAGTTTATGCCGTTGAAATAAATAAATAAATAAAATAAAACAATTTGTTGGTTTTGTTTACACATTTATTGGGCCGCACTGGAACTTGCCTTGGGTTGGACACCCCTGCTTTACAACTTATGATATAGATAAAAATCTCTGGAAATTAATACACTATATACAGTTTCCATTGCTAAAAAAATTTTTCAGCCAAGGCTAAATCATATTTTATATCACTTTGAATCAATATTCCATTAATGGATCTCATCTTTTTGATGTTAGTCATTCTTTAAGAGCTACATTGTCAAATTAAGATTTTGATTATCAAAAAATTAAAGTGAAATGCAATGCCATCCCTTATATTAACAGTTATTTTCTGTAAATTGTAAATAACTAATTTTAATGCTGTTCTTTCTCTAATTATTCATTATTTAGTACTAGTTTATTTTTTATATATCACATTAAATCTCTCTCATATATCTCATATGATTTCATTTCTCTGATATAATTTTTTTCTTTCCTGATATAAAAATTATTATATAACTCCTTATGCAAAGTTCTGAAACTTTAGGCATGCAGTTAATACTATAAAGTTTACATTGATTTGAATGCATATGATATGATTATGATGTGCATGAAATTTGCATAAAAATTTAAATAATTAGTTATAAATAAAATAGATTTATCAAAATTTTAAATTAATTTTCAAAAGTGATATGAATAATTTAGTTGGGTCAAAAATAACAGACATAATGATTATATCTGATAATGAGTATTGTATGTAAACAGAAATTTACATACAATACTCATAGCATTCTTTTTGAAAGATTCTGTATATTAGAAAGTGAATATTGTACAGAAACAAATGATTTATATTTATAATAAATCATTTATTTATGTACAATATTCACTTTCTAATATACAGAATCTTTCAAAAAGAATGCTACCATTTTAAATGATTGTAATTGTTGTAAACTTCTCAGATAGTAATTAACGTACACCAATTGATAGAGTAACTGAGTTCATCACCCATCTGCATTGAAATGTCTTGTCTGTTACCTCTAGAAACTGCCATAAACGAAAATGATGACTGCAACAGAGGTGATTTGTGTTCTGCAGTTCACAAATTCAGAATCACACATCATTGTGCAATACAAATATCCTACAGGAGCAGGAAAATCATGGCTGCTATGGGAGGAGTGACAACAGATATGCTGTAGGAAGAATTTGAGTATTGGTTGGATGTGTCCCATGTGACATTAGGTGCACATATTGAGAAATTGTAATGGGGCAAATGTGAAGCGTGGACAATTTTCCAGTGTTTTAATGTAGATTGCAACATTCTTAGATGATAACATAATTACAATAATTTAAAATGGTAGCATTGTTTTTGGAAGACCTTGTACGTATTGCTCTTTCTGTATTTATCATTGAATTAAACAAATATGAAACAAGTAGATGCANGAAAGTTTTTTTTTATTTTATATATAGCATTCTCATAAATAACTTTAAAATGATGCATAAAAACCACTTTGAACAAAGATGGCAACAATCTATCATTTTTATGTTTTCAGCATGATTAAGTTATGATGGTGATTTGAAGTTTTGGAAAATGATTATTTACAGTTTATTTTGAACACAATAGCTTAATCAAAGAAGGTTAAATTATTGTATTATTAATGAGTTTGATGGTAGGAATTTTTTGCTGCCATGATGCTGCTTTTGTTGGGATTTTTTAAAATAGCATTGCTTCAGAAATTAGATAAATTAAAGGACAAATTGAATTGTAATCTACAAAAGAGTGGACAATTTTCCAGTGTTTTAATGTAGATTGCAACATTCTTAGATGATAACATAATTACAATAATTTAAAATGGTAGCATTGTTTTTGGAAGACCTTGTACGTATTGCTCTTTCTGTATTTATCATTGAATTAAACAAATATGAAACAAGTAGATGCATTGTTATCTTACTTCAAATCACTTTTGGAAATTACAGTAATTTACAATTTGGTTAAATGTGAAATGAATATGCGTAAGTCTAAAAACTTTAAATGCATTCGTTGATTACACTCTCAACTCTTCATGTTCACAGTCTTTTATTATGTGGTTTTATTTTTTCTGTTGTATCTGAAAGATGAGAAAATAAATTTTTATTTGATCATATTTGCAAAGCTTCATTTAAATCGTGCTTCGGATCTGCACGATTTATCTGCACGAGATCCATATTCATTATGAAAACATTGCATTCATACACATATCATGTGCACTTGAAGTAGATGATTTTCTTTTTATGTTTCTAGTTTTAACATTTAACTTGTTTTCATTCTACATTAATAAAATTAATAATAAAATAATCGATTTTTTAAATTTTTTTAAGCTTTAACTGAGTCTATGAGAATAACAATGAGACTTTTGATAAATTTCATGTTTATGACATGCTTTGTTCTTATCCTTGTAAACATGAAGGGTTGATTATGTTACAATAACCAATTTTTTTAACATTTAACACTTTTTAATGCACTGCTCTTTTTATTAAATGATAAGTTTTTAATTTGAATTCAATTAATAAATTAAATCTATATTTTAATTTTATTTTTTTCAGCAACCATATGCTACTAATACTCAATATGGATATAATAATTGGTCTCCTCCTGCCCAATCAAATGAAACATCAAATGGTTATTTCTTAGAAAGATCTCACAGTGCTAGATTAACACTTGCTAAGGCTTGTGAGTTATGTCCTGAAGAGGTAAATTAATTGCTTTTTAATAAAATAAGTAAAAAATTAATTTAGAATGTGGAATGTTTATAATTGTTGATAGGATAGTGTTTATAATTATATGTACTTTTAAATATATTTTGTTTATAATTAATAATTAATAAATGTTAAATTATAAATTGATGAGAAAATATTTAAATTTTACCTGAATAGTTGATGTAATATTTCATATCTATTGGTTACAAAAATATATTTATACAGATTTATGAAAATAAATTAGATATTTTGTTGAATTTTTAGCATTTAAATTTCAACCATTATATGAAATTATAAAAGATATTAAGTTTTATTTTCAATAAAAATAAATATTTATAAATGACAAAGTCTAAATTGATATAAATTAATAAAATTTAAATTTAAAATTTCTTGAATATTAAGACTTATAAACAGACTTTTCCCTTCTGTAATTTTGAATTTTTCTTTATAAACTATATATTTGCAGTTAAACTTTGAAAGTTTTTTTTTATTTTATATATAGCATTCTCATAAATAACTTTAAAATGATGCATAAAAACCACTTTGAACAAAGATGGCAACAATCTATCATTTTTATGTTTTCAGCATGATTAAGTTATGATGGTGATTTGAAGTTTTGGAAAATGATTATTTACAGTTTATTTTGAACACAATAGCTTAATCAAAGAAGGTTAAATTATTGTATTATTAATGAGTTTGATGGTAGGAATTTTTTGCTGCCATGATGCTGCTTTTGTTGGGATTTTTTAAAATAGCATTGCTTCAGAAATTAGATAAATTAAAGGACAAATTGAATTGTAATCTACAAAAGAACAGCTAAAACCAAAAAATTTATATTTTTACAAAATATAATTAATTGGTATTATATTTAATTTTGTGTTGATGTTAATTAATTAAAGTATTCACGATAACATAGTTATGTAGTTTAATAAAGATAAAAAAATGGGATTGGTGATATTTCTAAAAATAAAATTCTTTGTAAATTCTAAAAATAAAAAATTATTTTCAGATTAAAAGTACAAGTAAAAACTACTATTTTATAACCGATTTTGAGCGATTTATACTAGCAAACAAATAATTAACAAAAAGATACTATACTTCAACCAAAACCAAATTCTTGTTGTTTATTAGATTCAAAACAACAAGAATTTGGTTTTGGTTGAAGTATAGTATCTTTTTGTTAATCATTTGTTTGCTAGTATAAATCACTCAAAATCGGTTATAAAATAGTAGTTTTTACTTGTACTTTTAATCTGAAAATAATTTTTTATTTTTAGAATTTACAAAGAATTTTATTTTTTTTGTTATGTAGTTTGTATGATATATATAATATTGCAGTTCTATATATTTACAAATGTTTTCTATTTGATTTTTGAATCACAGAAATTTGGCTGAACAAAAATTCAAATCTTATACTAATTTAAACAAATTCTTAGTAAATATTGGTAAAATCTTTATTCTTCTTAATACAGTAGTTGAATATTTAGAATTATGCCTAAAAAAATCAACATAAAATAGAAACATAAATGAAAATCATTAAGCAGTAAAAGACTATAAAAGTGTTTTTTTATTCATCATTCACGAATTTAAAAACATTAAGGCAAATATAATTTAATAAATATGCTTGAATATAAAAAAATAACTTATAATAATCTAGAACAGGGATGGCAAACTTTTCTAAGTCTGCATAACAAAATAGGTATATTTAATTTTAAGGTGTCAACATGCATAAATCTTTTTAAAAGTTCTAAAGACTGTTTTTAAAGAAATAAAATGAATATACTTTAATTAAATTAAACTATAGAAAGCTGATTCAGAAAAGAATGATGATACACTGAACTGAATATAAAATTTTATGGTTTGCAAGCCTATGAGTATGCATGCCATACGTTCATCATTCCTGATCTAGAGAATGTTGTGCCGATGTCCAATAAATATTTATAAATTGAATCACCTTTACTTATTAGCTATGTTAAAAGAAATATTAATTTGTATAAAATTTTGAATAAACAAATAAAAATTTCTCTTTACATTTATTATATGGTAGATAGTGCAACAACAGTACATGTAATAATAAGTTAATGGAATGACAACAGATGAAACTATTGATAAATTTTAGAAAACTTACAAATTAATTTTTTTAATATAAATAGGAACTGGATGAACAAGATATGTCTGAAGAGACAGACAGCCCTCCACCTGAAGAGAAAACTTCTTCTTGGCGTCCAGGCATGCCACAACATCCTAGTCCTCCACCAGAAGAAAAACTTGCTTTGTGGCACTCTGGTATTTCTCAACATGCAACTCCCTCTCCACCAGATGAAACTATATCTTGGCATGCGGATAAGCCAGGACGGGTATCAACAGATGAAACTATATCGTGGCATGCGGATAAGCCAGGGCGGGTATCAACAGATGAAACTATATCTTGGCATGCGGAAACACCAGGGCGAATGTCAACAGCTGAAAATATAAGTCTGTTTACCTCTCCCCCTCACATCACCCAACACTTAGTTTCACCATCGGTTCCTCCCTGCCTTGGTGTACAATCACAAGTTTCTCATTCTATGCCCTTAACAAATGGAAGTAGTCCAACAACTCCACAGCATCCTACTCAAACCACGGTGACGCAATCATCAGTTTCTCTCCGACAGTGCCCCGATTGTATGGAGAAACAAGAAGTAAATAATGGACAGTAGCAAACAATGTAATTATAAAAAATGTGATTTTCTAAATTAATGCCAAGAGTGTTCACAATGGTTCATGGTGATATAAAACTCCTGACTTATAAAACAAGTTTGATTTTCAAGATAATTTACTAATACATCTTTCACAAATTAGAGAAATTTGATAATACTTTTCTTTAAAAAATGAATATTATTTATTGACTGTATGCAAATTTGTCTGAGCAGAAATGGAACAAAGTAGCTCAACATTTTATACTTTCAAAGGTAACTTAGAAACTATTAAAAGTTATTTTGTGAAATATCATTTCTGCAACTTGAAAATATTTGTTGTATCCGGTTTTAGAAAGAATAAATGGCACTGAATCACTGCTGGATATGGTGACCAGCATGTGCCATATAATAAGACTGAGAAAAAGTTTAAGCTAGAGAGCTGCTGGCAGTTGCTCTTGAATGAGCCTTTGGTTCATGCAAATTCTTTCGTTGCCATGCAAGGACCAGCAAGTGTTTTTGGTACATTTTTGAAGTCTGAAATGTTTATTAAGAAACATTGTACATTAACTATTTGAGAGGGAATTCCTGATTGTTTTTGGTTAATTATCAGCAAAGTCAGCTTTGCATTTTAGTTTATCTGACATATGTGTTACATTTGTCCAGTTCTCTTGAACAGTATGCTATTACTTTGCCCTAAGAAGAGAGGCAATGTTATTTCAGTGATGAAAGATATACTTTATTAGAATGTGTAGATGTGATGTATTTTCTAAAGACGAAAGTATTCTCTTTCAATGTATGTTGCCCAAAATGCATTGAAATAAAATAAATTTCTCTCAAACTCGTATTGTTTCATTAAATGAATAAATTTAAATCCTATTTAAATAGGTAAAATTTTGGCATATTCATTATAGAGTATCATTTTTATATATATATGGTAGGATCCAAAAATTTGGGACTTTGCATATAGTTCCTTTCCTCGAATAGTTTAAAATACTAATGCACAACCAACATTGAAAATAATCCCCTTGGGTGACTATACACTTTGCCCATACAGCTTCTGGAAGCATCTTTTGCAATCACCCATAATGCCTCCTGCAATGCTGCTTTTATCTTATTTGATGACTTAAAATGTTTTGTCTTCAGAAAGAAATTTTAAAATATGATTGGCATGGGTGAGTGTAGTCCCCAAATTTTTGGATCTTGCCTCCTGTGTGTAAATATATAAATTTTATTATATTAATTTTAAAAAGCAAAAATCTACTGATATAGTTATTGGCAATCAAAGAACTATAACTATTTATTTTTGAAATTTGTTTGTTTATAAATTAAAAAATTATATTAAATAAAATTTTATTAAATGTATTCATAAATAAGTTTCATTATTGAAAATGCAATTATAAAGTATCTTCTGTATTTTATTATATGTTATAACACAAACATTTGATCAATTCTGAGAAAATATGCATTTCAGCTTAACAGATTTAAAACTTTTTATATAAATTATAAATCATTTTAAATTCATTTAGATTGTTCTTTAATTTATTGTTTTTATAGAGGTATAATATTATTTAAGACAATAATTAAACTTTTTATAATGTCTTAGATTGATTTAACTAATATAATTTTTTATATAGTTGAATTTTAAACATATGTAAATATTCAAACCCAAATTATTATTACTTTATAATCAATCACTAAATACCAGATTAACTTTCAGGCTAACACTGTTTTTGTCCAAAAGTTAACCCAGCAGTTAGTGATTTGATAATTAATTAATTTTTAATACATTACAAAGTAATCTGATAACAGGTACAGTTATTTTATAGATTACATAATATATTGATTTAGTAAATGTTATTTAGATTGTAGAGAAAGTAAGTGCAAATCAAAGGTATAATTGTTTAAAAAAAATTCATAAATTTATATTTTAACTATATTAATTAACAGCAGTAGATATGATAACAATTGTCATTGATGAACTTTTAGATCAAATTGTCTTGCATTATCATTTATTATTTAAATACAAAATAAGTAATTTGTCCTCTCTTTTTTAATCCAAGGTAAATTTTATTTGATATACAGGGTATTACAAAAAGAATGCTACTATTTTAAATTATTTTAATTATGTTAATTATCATCTGGAAATGTTGTAATCATTAAAACATTGGAAAACTGTCCAAACTTCACATTTGCCCATTACAATTTCTCAATGTGTGCGTCTCGTCACACAGAACACATCCAACATTTACTCACTCTTCTATGCTTGCTACAGCTTATCCATCACAAAACACCTTCTCTGTTACAGAGTCGTCATTTTCATTTATGGCTATTTCTAGAGGTAACAGACAATAAGACATTTGAATGCAGATGGGTGATAAACTCACAGTTACTCTATCAATTGGTATATGTCACATACTTTTTGTCTAATAAGTACAGTAATTTAAATTGGCAGTGTTCATTTTGGAAGATGCTGTATATGCATATATTTTTTGTACATTATTTTTCATGCATTTTAACCAATTTTTCAACATTAAATTTTCTAAAGGCTATATTTTATTGGTGCAATGAAGTAGTCACTTTTATAGGTTATTTTATACAGGATTAATATAAGTGGATTTGTGTTTTTACAGATGATAAGTGGTTAGGTATTCACAGGGGTAATTCTGACTATTTTTATTATGAAATTCACTGTAGAACAAAAGCAATGATATAAAAATTAGATGCAACTTTCTACAGCCTACCTTTGAGAAAAAGTTATGAAGAAGAGATGAAAAGACAAAATTTTGGTGGGGGCACAAAGAAGGAAGTTTTATATGTTCAGTATGAAAGTTCTGTAAAACTAAAACTTTTGATACTACACAACAAAGACAAAACCATAACAGGAAGATGGCATCTGTTGTTTCTTATTCTGGTTGCTTATGCAAATCACATTCACAATAACTCAATAATCATTATCATTTTCTTTAGCAGAGGCTGGAAGTAAAAGTAGAAACCCTGGTCACAATAGTCCAACAGAGACTGAGTTGTGAAGTAATAAACTCATCTGTAAGTGAAGTTAGCTTTGCTAATATTCAGGCAATAATTACAAATCATTTTTATATACTGTGAAACATTCTTTGAGACTACATGAAACTATAACCAATGCATTAGTTGGAATGATAAGGAAAGCATATGAAGTTTTTCAGAAATTTATTAAACAATATAAAAAAGAGAAATGTCTATTAAATGTTATTAAATGTAGGTAATATTGTTTTAACACCAAATTGCCAGACATTGTATAATATGGATCAGTAACAATGAATTTTGTCGTCAACTGGGAGGTATTTTACTTATATAATGCTCTTCAGAAAACTCTTTATTCACTGAAATAATAATTAATACTTTCTATTATTAACAAGTTATATACAACTTTTTACTTGTATAAACATAAAATAATATGTTGTCAAGTTAACAACATATTGCCGTCAACTTACAAAATGTATCGCAGCATTAACTGCAGCATTGTCATGTACTGCAGTAAAAACTTTGCTATTCTGACTCCAATCATTTATTACTATGATATTTCTAATTTAGTTCTTAGGTGTTTACAAGTATTACTGTTGTCAATGTGTATGACACTGGCTCCCAATTGATGACAAAATACATTGTTACTATCGTGTAAGAATCCATAATTAAAAAATTAATAAGTATGTGCAATTTGATTGGCAAACATTCCACAGTTACAACAAAAACACTGTTCTGCTTATAAGAGTCACATCTTGCCTGAATGTAAAATGATTCAATCATTGAAAACCCATTGGAATTCAATATTTTATTTGAATGAGTGACTTCTGGAGCAAAGAACAGCAGTTATAAATGTAATATACGACAAAAATATTATCACAAGAAATTGTATATCATCTTTTGAAATAACCAAAAAAGATAAACATATTAGAGAATTTCAAGAAAGTTCAGAAGCCATTTGAACTTATTACTGTTGTAATAAGTACATTACAGTAATAAGTACAGTACTATACAAGTAATAAGTACATTAGTAGTTATTACAACCATTTTGTTATTCGGTAACTTTTAAGAAGTGGAAGAAAACAAATAAGAACAAGCAATTATTTATTGTGACATTGTCACAATGCCGGCTGCAATTTTTAATTTATTTAATTTAAAATATATGCTCTCCACCTCAGATTATTAGTGGCTTGCTTCTGTACATCACACTTTCCTTTAACAATAGAGTTGTGCCAGTCATCTATTAACTGCTTTCAGGAGAAAAGTTTTGAATTGAAATAACATGTCTGCCAGTTAGAATCAGAAGTTCGTATATAGTTAATCCTGCCCCTAATCTTTCCATATCTGATCTTGGGTTCCATCTACCTAGTTTCATTCTTGAGATTAAGGAAAGACAGACAGACGGATGACAGTGGGAATTTATAGGCCTACAGTTTTTCAAATTGCAGCCCAACAAATAAAAAATTTTTAAAATACAGTTTTCAAATAATATGAGAGTCCAATTTAACATAGGATGTAGATTAGAATGTAGATTATAGATTGAGATTTCCAGTTATATGGATCCCCAATATTAAAAAAAACCAAATAGATGTTCAAAGTTAAAGAAATGTCAACATAAAAGATAAACAATGGTTTTAGAACCCAAACAGAAAAGCAGTAGCTAACTAATTTTAGATGATGATCTAGATATGTCATTTCCTCAGAACAAACCATGTACAGTGGTGCCTCGTATAACGTACGCCTCGAATAACGGACGCTGCGAATAACGAACTTTCTGTTTGGCCGTTACATGACTCGAGCAACAGACTGGCTGCGGACAACGGACTTTCCGTTCGGCAGTTACGTGAGGCGACCAATGGACTTTCTACGAACAAGTGCGAATGATGTTTCCACTCTTTTGCCGTTGCCAATGACAATCTGCTATTTTTATAATATATTAGTATTATTAGAATATATTATCAGTATATCTGAAGTACAGAGCTCCCGTTGGGATTATGCTTGCTCCCTTGTTTATTACGTACATCACCTCAGTGCAGGGTATTTACATTTATTCAAGTGTTGTGCAAATCATGGCTTCTAAAAAAACAGAAAGGTGATTTCAATTGAAACAAAGCAAGAAATCATCAGAAGGAGTGAA